TCCCGAGCAGGACAGCGGGAGCTGCGGCCGGTCCGGGGCAGGAGCCGAACGTCTCCGCAGGGGACAAGGTACGTGGGGGTTTGATTGTGCACGGAGCGAAAGGAACGGCAGATTTTCCTCGCGCAGGAAGAGCGAGCTGCGGCCGAGGCGTCCCCAGCTCTCAAGGGCAGCGCTGGGTGACCCCAACCTTGTGTGCTCAGCGCGCTGCCCCGAGGGTTTTCTCTCCCCCAGGACAACAAGGCAGTTTGAGTTAAAGGTCTGGATATTAGAAAAGCAGGGATTAAAAACGCAGCTGTAAGAGTTTCCAGAGTTTAAGTTTCTTGCAGTATTAAAAACAGTTAGGAAAGGCTCTAAAACATTGTTCCTCTAAAAGGGAACAATGTTTTGTTTTCAGCACGCCCCGCCTTTTTTTACTAGTGTCCTGCAGCAAATCCTGCTAACATGGGAATTACAAGGTTAGGAGTTATGTAAAGCTGAGCCCCATGGCAGGACAGGCAACATGGGCAGAGCTGCCAGTGCTTGCGAGACCTGAGCCAGAAATTATCTCAAACATTAGCACATAGTTGGGGGATATTCTAATTTATCATAAAATATTGGGGACAGACTGGGGAAAGAAAAATATGTTTAAAAAGATACCATAAACCCTGCATTTTGACTTCTTAAAAGTGTCATAAATCACCATTGCCCATATCATTGCAATGAGGACAGGACAGTGCCTAAATCTCCACGCAATTCCTGTGCAGGTACAACATCTTGGCCAACCCACCGAAACCACTCCTCGCTGTGCCAACACCTCCACCAGCCACCCACTGCCGGGTGCCAGTGCCTGGCGAGCCCTTCCCAGAGCTGTGCAGCCTCCAGGATGGCTCTGCTGGACACCAGCAAGTACTCGCAGGGCTCAGTGCTCGGCAGCGTCAACCCTGACCTGGCCAGCGAGAGGCAAACAGCTTCTTTCAGCGTGGAAAAGCTCACGGCGCTGCTGGACGGCGGCACGGAGCAGACTCGGATACGCAGGGCAGTGGGTGAGTGAGAGGAGGCCCTGGCTGGGAGCTGCCACAGACCATGCCAGTGTCCCTGCTGCTCTGCTTCTCCTTTGGCAGCACAGTGGGGTTTGTGCTTCTGGGTATTTGCTTATCATCCATCTCTTTAAAAGTGGGAGTGTGGAGCCGTAGTCCCCCGTTTGTGTAAATCAACACAGTTCCTCTGCAGCCACTCCCACTGTCTGAAGTTTTTCCTCCTGCGTGCTCATGCTCCCGTTTCCAATGTCTCTGGCAAGACTGGTTAAACTGGAATACAAGAACGGAGGGTTGAGCATCCCTGGGAGAGGGGGGTGTGTGTGAGGGCTAGTGCTGCATGCACAACATGTGTGAACCACAGCCAGTGTCCCTCCTCAGCCTGTCAGGCTCATCCAGGTGGGGAATTTCTTGTGTGGGTTGGCTCAGCTAGGCTGAGCTGCTCTCACACATGATGGGTGTGTTGAAAAGTGACTGTGTGCTCAGAAGGAACAGAGAAAAAAATCCCTCTCTTTAGTCTCTATAACTGCATCTGTATTATACACTTACCAGACAAGAACAGCACAGGCCACTAGGATCACATACTTCACGGTGCCACTGGAGTTCAGTGTAATCTTCCACATGAATAGACCCAGGGTTTGAAGGCAAAATGGAGCAGAGAGAGTGTTCAGATTGACACAAAATAATGACTCTGAGTTCCTTTGCAACACTGCAATGGGCTGGTAACATCCTGAGCCAGTGCACTGGTGCAGGACACATGTGGGCTCCAGCCATCAGCCACCCTCTGGGCAAAATCCAGCTAACCACAGCCCTAGCAAAATCTGGCTGTCCACAACCCTTGCTGCCATCACAGCATGGAAACAGCAATTGAAGACAGAGGGATCTATGTCATCTTCTGCCACGAAGTCACCTCCAATACCCTAACTAGGGACAGTCCCTTACCCTGCAGGATCACCATTTCCAATCAACAGACCCCTCTCCCAGGCCCTCTCTGTTCCCCTCCACCTTCCCTAACCCACTGCTTTTCAGAGTTAGGTGTGACAGCCATGGGAGCCAGAATTGGCAAAATAAAACCTGCCTGAAGGCACCCTAAAAAGTCACAGCATCAGTATCCATGAGTCGGCAGGGCTCGAGGCACTGCCTGCACCTCCCCAGCCCCAGGAGAACCAACTCTTCTGTCTTGCTTTGCAGTTGAAGCTATTGAATCCGACCCTGTGTTTAGCAGAGAAAATCAGTATTTCCAGACCCAGAATGAGAGGTATGAAGCAGCAGTCAGGAAGGCTGTTCATCTCCAGAGAAAGATGAATGAGATGGGATGGACTGAGAATGGACCTGAATATAAGTACATTTACAGGTGATTTCTATTTATTATTTTTAATGTAAAACTTTTTGTCAAAAGATTTGTATGCTAACAAGGATCAGCTTTAGCAGAGGCTGGGAGAGGCCAGCAGCTGACAGATTAGGTTTGGATACAAACAAGCTGAAGGTTTTTACTTTAGCAGCACACTTGGGAAAAGGGAAATCAGTGGTACATGGCAGGGAACTTGTGAAAGAGCAGCACATGGGTACAGCGTGATAGATCATAGCAGCTCACAGCCCCAACATGATATTTCCACTTCAGCAAGCTCCTTATTTGTGCTACAGCTCTCATTCCACCTCTCAGACATTTTAGAATGTATAAACAGATTTGGAAGTGGTGCTGTTTCAGTTACATTACTGACTTCCAGATAAACTAAAAATGACATTTTCTTCACCCGGAAAACTCGGATTTAAAGAAAGAAACAACAAACAAACAAAACCCTTCTTAGCTTGTAGGTAGATGGAATACTATATTACTCAATCTTTTCCTTAAAATGTTTTCTTAACACTTTGCACAAAGATGAGTTCCACATTTCAGTTCCTTGCCTCTCCTTTCCCTCTTTGCTAAATTATTCCTGGCTCACTGTTGCCCAGTGCACACTGCCCATTTAGTGGGGTCACATATCCAGCAGGAAGGTGCATGTTCAAAATGTCACTCAAAAGGGCAATACCTGCCCCTCACACATCACCACTGACACTCACAGCCACTTTCCAATGTTTCATTGAGTCATGGCACAGTTTGGGTTGGAAAGGACCTTTAAAGGTCATCTAGTCCAACCTCCCTGCAACGAGCAGGGACATCTTCAACTAGATCAGGTTCCTCAGAGCCCTGTCCAGCCTGACCTGGAATGTTTGCAGGGTTGGGGCATCCAGCACCTCTCTGGGCACCCTGTTCCGGTGTTTCACCACCCTCACTGCAAAAGAATTCTTCATTATATCTAGTCTAAATCTACCTTCTTTTGGTTTAAATGCATTAACCCTTTTCCTATTGCAACAGACCCTGCAAAAAAGCCTCATCATATGAAAAGTTTTAACTTTTTATGCAGAACTCTGCTGCCAGCAGCAAGTGGGACTGGTGAAGGAGGAAATCATCCATCAAGAGCTCTTGGTCATTATAATTAAAAAGCAGCTCTCCATTTCTCCCTCAGAAGAAAAGAGAAATACCAGCAGATTTAAAAAACCCGACAAAACTGAACACCCTCTCCTACACACATGTGCTTTTATCTGGCCCTTGATGCTGAGGGCTGCATCACGGCCAGCCCTGTGCTGCCCCATTTTGCTGGATGGCAGGGCAGCTCTTGCCTGATGAAACACCAGGTGATCACCAAGCTCTTATGACAAAATCCTGGTGCTCCTGGTGCCAGGCACAGCATATCACCTGCACAATTTAAAATCTGCTTTTCAAATCGCAGCTAAAGGAACATTCTTTCTGGATGAACTGCCAAGGATTCATTAAGTCATTTTCTGTTAATCAAAGCAATTCACTTTTAACTTCTTTGTCATATTCCCCCCCCATACTGTTTCAGCATGATTGATTCTCTCCCAAGGCTAGTATAAAAGAAAGGTCAGAGTCATTTGTTAACAATAAAAGGTATCTGTCTGGAATGAGATGCTCACTAGAGCACTGCAGTAAAGCAATGTGCTAACAGCCACCCAGCTACTGAGAACAGCATAGCCACTTGCTTGTACATGCTCCTGTATCTCTGAGGTGATTCAGCCACATTCTGAGGAATCCCAGGAAGAGAGACTATATTCCTCATATTTTCTTAGGCTTTCACAAACACACACACACACACAAAAAAAAAAAGCTTCCATTAACTTCTTATTTGTGCCATGGAAATCACTGTACACAAGTTCCTACACACAGTTTCTGGATTAATGTTTTATAGGATGTATGCAGCCCTGTCAGCAAAGGACCTGACCAGGCAATAAAGCAGGTGTTACACAGATGTACTCAAATTTTTCCACAAGAGAACATCTAAAGCCAGGCCAAATTTCCGTGAACCTCAGTACTGTTTACAGACAGCAACTGATAGCAAACACCCAGGGAACAACAATACAGCAACAAACTCAGCATAACAAGGTATTTCCCCAGCATGGGGATGTTCAGGAAATCCAGATCTCAGACACATACGTATGTAATTCAGTCTCATGTGCCCCACAGTGAATTGCGAATGTTTGGGGTTTTTAGAGTAGGGAGGTGGGTAGTTCAGCTTTAAAATATTACTTAAATAATCAGGAAAAACAAATTCTATGAAGTAAGATAAAAATACGAAGGGCTCACAAGCCATCAGAGCTGCAGGAGCTTTGGAGCTGGGCTATGTTTTTGAGTTGCTCAGCATCTGCTTCTCAGAACAGATAATTCCTCCAAGAGCAAGTGAAATAATGAGTGAGCAACAGGTAAGCAGACTCTGTTATGAAAGGAACAAAAGCAGCTTGGAAGAACACTTCCTGCAGTACTGTGCTGATGCTGGGTGTTGGGAAAGGTATGACAAGGCAGAAATCAGAAGGCAGCGGGTGGTACTGTCTGGTGACCGCTGCAGTGCCACTGCCTCATTCATCACATGCCTGGAACTTCATCCTCTTCATCCCCCTCATGCTGTCTCCGCAGGGCACTGTCAGGAGACGTCGCATTTCTCCTTCACCGTGTCTTCATGAGAAGTATTTCTGTGCTGGGCTCTGACAAACAGATTGCCAAATGGATTCCTCTCGCCACCCAGTACAGGCTCATCGGAAGCTACGCCCAGACTGAACTGGGGCATGGTAAGGCTGCAGGGACAGTGCAACATTTCTTTAGGACAAATGGCTGCAGCCCAGATTCTTGTGGGAGTTTGAGTCCGAACTGACCGTGCTTCACTGGGACAGGGGTGGCTGGGGGGGGAAATGCCTCCTGCATGGTAGAGGTCACTGTCCTCAGTGTTCCTCTGCAACTGGAGATGTGCTGGCTTTGGTTTTGCCAACATGGAAAAACTAATGAGAGCAAGTGTGAGAGCTCATGGTTAGACAGCAGGCAGTCACCAGCAGTGGAGGGGATCGGGCAGGCAGCTTGCCCAACTGATGGCTGTCACCATGATCCAGGCAGCTTGCTGGAGTACCATGGGGCTTGAGAGGTCTTTGCAGGAGATGGTGTAAGGTCGCTGGGAGCATCATCCCATAGTTCTCATCAGAAAGGTAAACCACAAAACCCTGGTAATACCCACACCAGCTCCCAGGGATCTTCCACTCTCTCCATCTCTGTGATTCACCAGGAGATAGATATATATAATTTTTAAAATTTTTTTAAAGGAACTTATCTTCAGGGATTGGAAACAACAGCAGTGTTTGATACTGCAACACAGGAGTTTATACTGAACACTCCAAAGATCTCTGCCATGAAGTGGTGGCCTGGAGATAGTAAGTACCACACAAAATATTTTGGTTTTCCTCATTTGCCTCCTTCAGCTAGTCTGCCCTGCTCAAGCTCTGTGTTTGAGGGCCCAGGTGCTAGCAGAGGCCTTCAGTAAGATACATGCATCAAGAGACAAGTAAGAGACAAAGGAGTCTGTCCAAGTTCAAAGGCCAGAAGGCCTTTGAATCATCTACTAAAACCCTTTGAGTGGCAGGGCTGGGAAACTTCGCCCAGGGCAACTCCTGCCTCTGCAGGAATCAATCTTCTCTTCTTTGTAAATAATACTCAGACTGCCAAAACCTGCAGGGAGGTCATCAGCATAAAGGATTCAAGTCAGCCAGCCTCAGTATAAAGGATTCAAGTGTGAAATTCTTGGATCCCATCAGGAAGATATTTCACAGGAAGTAACTGAAGTCACTACACCAGCCACAGCACTTCCTACCCTCTTAGCACTGTCTGAACTTTAACTAGTTATTTTTTCTCATATTCTGATGCAAACTATTAGTCCAGGCCTCACAGGGAGCAGCAGAGGCCAAATGATGGTGCAACTTCCAACAGCCAAGAGCAGGCTCAGGTTTAGGCAATCTCCAGCACCTGTGGCTCACACCTGTGCTGACCCATACCTTAGTGAGGCCTAACACACAGTTAGCACTGACAGCTGTTAACTGTGGAAGTGTTTGTACTGTACCTTGTCTCAAGAGAACGGGGCTGGTTTTCTTCTCACAGTGGGAAGATCAGCAACCCACACAGTGCTCTTTGCTCAGCTGTACATCCATGGGAAGTGCTATGGCATCCATCCCTTCATCGTGCAGATCCGCAGCCTTCAGGACCATTCACTCTGCCCAGGTAAACACCACCAGACACTGCAGCACTTGTGCAGGTGCTCTGCCTACTTTGCCCTTAAATGTCTTCTAAAATATTATGCCCAGGGATAGCTGTAATTGCCAAAAGCAAGCCAGGACAGATACCCAGGGCATAGGTATCATTAACCCCAACCTTTCTATCTAAAGGGAAATCTAACATATCCTCAGGCATATCCAGACCAAGCCCTTGTCTTAACCAGAAGTCTGGGCTGCTCTGAGCACCTCTGCACTAACTTCTCAGTTCTGACCCCAGCCAATGCAGATCCATCTCTTGATGGATCATGGAAACAAACTACCACAAGGAATTCAAATGCCTGTTCCACCCCTCAGGCAAGATCACCCGTGCTGGGGAAGAAGCAGAGCTGAACATGCCCTTCCTTTGAGATCCCCAGCCTGACACAAAAAGGGGAGAAAAATCTTCAAGTGGAAGTAAGCAGGCTATGTTTTCTCCTGCTGCAGGCATAACTGCAGGAGACATTGGTCCCAAAATGAATTTTGAGCACACTGACAATGGCTACCTCATGCTGAAGAATGTGCGCATCCCCAGGGAGAACATGCTGAGCAAGTTCTGTGAGGTATGTACAGACTCACATCGTAGACTCAGCTGTCAGACTCTCATTGCACAGGCAGGGAGACGTCAGGGACCTGCCTAAATTTAGGACAAAAACCTTCCTTTGAGGAGTCTGCAAGTCTCTGAGGTTTTATCAAGGGCAGAAGTTAACTTCAATTGTAAATGAAACTCAGAGTCAGAGGTTGGGGATCACGGGGCAGGCAAAACTTTATCTGAGCCTGAAACAGTAAGAGTTTGTCCCTTCAAATGGATATCTTTCATCCATCATACTTAAAAACATTTAGTTTGCATTCAACGAAGGACTTTTTTGCCCTTCTTTTCCTATGCATAGCAATCACACAACTATCCTAATACTGAAGAAGGCAACATCTAACACCCTCTCTCTACTCTAGGTTCGACCAGATGGCACCTATGTAAGAACAGGCTCACAGCAGATTAATTACTTCACCATGACCACAGTGCGCATTTCCCTCATTTCAGACGAGGTTATAACACCCATGATGAAAGCTTGCACCATCGCCATCCGATACTCCGTGGTTCGCCGGCAGTCCAAACTAAAGCCTGGGTAATGCCACCAGCCCCCACACCAGTTTGTACTCTTACTTTTCATCTTATCTTTCAGCCCATCCCTGGCTGATTTCCTGGCCCAAACAGGGCACAAGAAGCATGCGTCCCCATTATTTACATTAATGAGCTTCAGTCAAAGTACAAGAGAATGTTTACAGTTCTTTCCAAGAAGTGTCATAGTTTGAATAACTCAGCGGTTCACACAGGCAACTTATTTTGCTTAGAACTGGCCTTTCCTTGTAATCCCATAACTCAGCAGAATCCAGACAAAGCAGAGAAGCTGATAAAATCTTATTTCGTAGCATCCTACTAGTGGCTGTGACATTAAAATACCTTCCAACATCCAGCAATCCAATATCCACACTTTGTACCGCTGAATTGCATTAGTCTTTTAAGAATCCCTGTCATTTCTAAATAGATACTTTAATTTGAATGGATTACAACATTTTCCATGTAAAACTCCTTCCAAAAGCAGAAAGATCCTAATGAGAATGTGGTTTGGTTCAAACACAAACCAAACACCAGAGCACAGTATGCTGAACTATTGTAATAACCAGTTTCATTGACTGAAGCCCTAAGTGTACTAACCACAGCAAAAGTGGTAAAGGACATGCAAAAAAAGCTAAGAAAGCTTAAAATAATTTAGACTCAAATATTTTCAGGGAAACGTATCTACGCCCAAGGCCACAAAGATCCTGTTTGAAAAACCAAGTTTATCAGGGTGCAGTGCCACCACCACCCCTGGAACACCCAACAACTCGCTGTCGTTGAAGGCTTCATCATGTCCTTTCCCACAGTCCTTGTTCCCCCTCTGCACTGAGGCTTTTCTGTGCTGTCAGGCTGGTTCACCAACCCAGCAGAAAAATCCCTGTTTTCCCTGTTGGGTTTCTTTCTCTAGTAGCTCAGCAAGCTGGACAGATTTGCTGCCACAACATCAGCGCAGTCCTGTTCACTTCATAGTGAGGAAAAACATTGTTTTTCATTTTGTGACAGGGAAACTAACAGTAGCTATGCCTCTGTCCACACT